AGTTCCCGCCGCTGTGAGTGGGCTGGGCTCTGAGCTGTCGTGGCTGATGGCTCTGATTTATCATCTCCCATTTATCATCTCTTGTCAAAATTTGTATTTGCTGCTGAGGAGAGTTAATAAATTCGCTGCGGCTAGACCCGGTGGGGTTTGTCAGTCGAAGCGCTCTGCGAAGCCAAGGCAACACCTCGATTTGTATGGTGAAATGGTGAGCGGGCTTGAGAGGTTCAGCTTTTACACATGAGGTGCTGCAAATGATGCTCATCAGAAAAATGTAATTTCACACAGACTGGGAATACAGATAGAATTACTCATTTTCATTCTCCTTTTGTAACTGCACCATAAAGTGCAGCCTCCAAAACTCCAATTGTCCCTACATTGAAACTGAAAAAATCTACAATTTAATCAGTAATTTATTATTTTAACTTTTTTTCCCCAAACAAACCCAAAAGTTTATAAACAATGCAGAATTTTGGACAAAGAACTTCAAATCCATAGCAATACCTGCTGCTAGTTGTTAGCCCTACAACAAAGAAAGCTACAGCATGGTAAGATTCCTATGGATTGGAGAGGGCTCTTCCTCAGGCTTTCATCTAAAAACTGGTCACCATTTATTTGCCTCTTTGGGAAACATCAACGCTCAGGCTCTAATTTCGGACTGGTAGGCTTGTGAACCTCTCCTGGGCTTAGCTGTCCTGTCCTGCCTGGCGCTTGTCAGCTCCTCCCTAGAAGGTGGAGTTTCTCAGGAGTCTTCCATAAAGAGGGAGCCAGGAGGAAGGTGTCCCTCTCTGGGAGGGTTTCCTGGCTTTTCTACAGAGGGAAACACACCTCAAGCAGAGAGGAGGAAACAGAGTGTAATTCGTACCACAATTGCTGTTTACAGGTAAAGCATAAATAGGTGCAATTGCTTTCTAATAACAGAATAACATATTAAATGAGTAAGCGAAAACAGGTGTGAGCTGCTGTTTGGCAGTGCGGTGTCTGAGTGGGGCTGGCGCCTGCTTTGTCACGGGTTGGGGTGTTCAACCGACTGCAGCAGAGATTTTCCCTTTACCCCTTTATTGTCTCTGGGCTAAAGAAAAGAAAAATGGGCTAAAAGCAGCTCCTCAGATTGGTTTTGCTTGTCATTAAAAATAGTTTTAGTTGGTTTTTTTAAATATTTTTAGGAGTGGGCATTTTTCTGACCATAATGTGAACAAAAAAGAAGTTTGTAATCTTTCTGTGCAGAATGTCATGGCCAGCTGCAGTCTCCTGGTTTTTTTTCATTTCGTTTGCTTTCCCTAGCTTTTTGATGTTTGTGATGACATCAAACCTTGTTAGAAACAGCTTTCATTTGAGAGAAGAGGTTTCACAACCACTTTAGTTGCAACAAACATGCTTTGAATGTTACTATTGAAGCATTTTCTTACTGCATCTGAAGACAAAATGACTTTCCAATGCATTAATTGTTTTATTTGGTTAAATAATACTGAGCAGTACTACTTGTAGTGACACATTTTTTGATGGCAGCATTAGCCCAATGTGATAAAATCCTAAGTGTATAAAAAACCCTATAAAACTGTTACTCCTTTATCTTGATACAGGCCTTTCTTTCCTACTAATGTTCTGGGTGCAATGAAAACTGCGTATTTGGGGGATTGAGCAGTATCTTGAGTAGTAAATGACACATATTTCATACTCTTTCCTGATAGAAATTTTCCTAGTCACCTTCTGTATTTCCCTCTTTTCAACTTGGATTTCACTGAATAAATGTTTAATCATCCTGTGTATAACATCTGCTGCTGTCTTTAGTGAAGAGAAACGCTTACGTTCCCTGTGCTTCATAGCCTGGAATACTCCAGGATTTGGAAATGTCAAACTTGCATGGCTTTTCTTTGTTAAACCTCACGAAATTAAGATGGGAGTATGAAGATACAAAGCTGTGCAGCAAGTCAGGGCAAAAGCTTCCTACATCACTCTGTCTCTTCCTAGCACTAAAGCCTGCCTTCAGTTAAAAACCCTCCCATTCTCCCCAAAGTTGGAACCAAACCTTTCTCTTATTACTCAGGGAAAACCTTGCAGGATATTTCTGTGACTCCAAAATTGGATTAAATTGGATTAAAATGCATAGAAACTTTGCTCTCAGGAAACTCTCCTGTGGCTTCAATGTGCCACAGTCCTTACAAGAATCTCACGGTAATGAGGGTAGTAATGACATACAAAGTTGGATTTTTGGGCAAGACTACAAAATTGATGTGAAAGGAAACTTATAACAACTGTAATTCAGCGCAGTTTATAGAATTTTTAGGATCTGATGTATCCTAATCTCAAAGAGATATTTTCATGACTGATATGTGGAGCTGAGTGAATCCCAAACCAAAATCACTAATTCGTGGGGAAGTCACAAAAATCCCTGCAAAAAAAGCATACTGGGGGAGGAGAGGAGTTTGCCTAGAATAGGGGTGGGAGGAATCTGTAAGTTTCTGGTAGCTGGTAGGGAAGGGGATCGCTTTGTGTGAATATGATTAACTCTCAGTAAAGCATTTCTCTGTGTTCATCTAGTCTTGTGAAAAATGAAGTTTCAAGAGCCTTGAAGAATCAAGGACCCAGAAGATACGCTACCTTGACACCTGATTTGTCTATTTTGAGTGATGTGCTGAACTCTGAGGACAGAGGCCCTTTTTCAAAAAAGGAAGGTAAAGCTGGAGCACAGACAACAGAAATGGGTCTCTTCTGACTTAAAAATCTTAAAATGATTAATTATGTAAAAAAAAAAAAAAAACCACACAACAACAATGCTAGAGATGGAGGAGGGAACTCATCCCTGCTCTTCTCCTGGGTTAAATCTGTCTCTAGTTTTTACCTGGCTGCTGAAATTGGCTCACCAGAACATTCGGTGAGGAGGAACTGGGAGAAGGGGTGAACATAATGTAAGTATTATATTTAAGGGCTTTTCATCTTCAAACACTGGGAAAGGTTGCTATCTTGGTGAAGGGAAAGGTGGGTGGGAGAGCAGAAGAGACACCCCAGATCTGGGGAGACCATCTCTGTGCAAAGCAAAGATGATGCCTTAGTGCCTATCACAAACAGTAGTTTTATGGGTCACACCTAAAGACTCTTGTGTGAGACACTACAAATGTAAGTAAGGCCAATTTGTGGACACCCAGAATTTGAAAAAAAAAGAATAATTAGGGAAACCCACAGGATAAACAAATAAGACTTATCAGCTGCAGAGAAAAGTCTCGGTCTACTGACTGCTTAATAGCGGAAAAG